CTATTTTTCGTTTTCTTAAATTCATTTTAAACTTCTTAAATCAATTGTTTTAATCATTTTCAATGTTTTTAAATTCCTTGTTTTATTGTTGTGATTATTTTTTTTCTTTTCTTTTATGTAAAGCACTTTGAATTACCATTGTGTATGAAATGTGCTATACAAATAAACTTGCCTTGCCTTGCCTTGCCAAAGTATACTTCACTTTTTACACATAAATGAGGGTCAGCGTACAGTGCGTGTGATGCGAATTTCGTCATCAGAATAGTACGCTCACCGCCCGATTTTTGTAACCGCGCATTCTTTGTACGCGCAGGTTGTATATGCGCATTGAATTATTTTTGTAGTAAGCAGATGTTCCACAAGGTGGCAACACTGTCCCGGGCCGTTGAAAACGAAACTAAAGTATGGAAGGCCAAAAGGGCCAAAAACACTTGAATTTTAACACGTCAACAACACGTTAAATACGAGTATTTCACGTGTATTTAATGCGTATTTCACGCGTTAAATACATGTTGTTTGCGTGTGAAAATTCAGCACGTAAAATACGCATATTCAACATGTATATAACGTGTTAAATACGCGTGAAATATGCGTTTAAAATCAAGTCAGTGTCATTAGCTGCTGAAAACTTGGGTCAAACCATTTCTGTGCACTTGGGGTGTACCATTCATAGACTAGGCTACCGCCATTTAACATGCTATAGATCAGCTTTTTTCAGTCTTTTTATTTTGTCCTTTTTTGTCTTTTTTTGTATAGCCTATATAAATAATATTAGAATATCCACTAATATGTTTATTTACAAAAAGGCATGAGTGTAAAAAATGAGGCAATTTTATATTTATCTAACTTTTCATAAAACTGCAATTTAAATATATTATTTCTATAGGCTATACAAAAAAAGACAAAAAAGGACAAAAATTAATTTGTGCACATTCCGCAAAAAAAAATAGAGTATACTTTGAAAGGCTACACGTTCGACTGTACACACACACAGTGTCTTCACAACATGGCGGCGGCAACAACAATACTACAGCGAGAATAAAAGTTACGCCTTCTTTCTTTGCGTGATCATTTGGGCGACGTTATGCAAATCTTCCCACATAGCGACGTAGATATGTGGGGGCATGTTAGAACAAGCCGTTTTGAAAACCTTGTGTGAGACTTAATTTCACAAACAGCACGAATCTCAAAATACGCAAATGACTTCAAATCATCACTGTCTATAAGCGAGCTGCACGCTGCACAGTTGACACAGGAATTGTCACTTGCACAATCGAGGCAGTGTCACATCGTCACTTCACAAGTTCATAAATTGCATTACTTTTTAATTCTTGCCAGTGTTTAACCATTCAGCGCTCGCACGCTCTCTTGGAGACACACACATAATTTGCAGCACACACACATAATGCCAGGTTCAAATTACTCCGTTTGCAGTGCGTATGTGGTGTGTATTTTTTCCGCGCTCATGATAACGGATTAATAAAGCGTGCACACTGCACATGGTTGCGGTCCGGCAGAGCTGTGCGTCTGCAGCAGTGCAGACATCGTTTCCGCACTGAGTCTATGTTTGCTGCGCTGCAAGCGCTGAATTAAAGTAACAGCGAATTGTTTGCAGTAAATATGAACATGGATAGACACGAAAATGTAGTAATTACACCGTAAATGCATATTATTCAAGTCTACTGTGTTTCACAGTCAACACATATGGCTTTTTTGCTAGGTTTAAAGGAAAAGAGCACTTTTAGATAAACAAGGCAAAAATAGATGGCACTTGTGGAGGTAGGAAAACAAAGTTCTTTATGAACGGCAGGATTGCTTGTAATAAAGATTTCAATGCAAAAGGAAAGGCAGTAGAGCTGACTATTTCTGTAAATGATATTTTTGTGATAACGAAAGAAAAGTAGTTTAAATGTTTTGCCACTTGCTTGAGCAACTTAATATATAAATCTAGAAGTAAATGCAAAAGTAAAAAGCATTGAATAATGTGTTGCTTATATTTATTGTGTTTAAATATGACTGTGAAAGATTGTATTACTGTGCTGTGTAAAAAAAAAAAAAGAATTGCAATGCTGAAATAGCATTTTCAGTGACAATGTTTGGATTTGAAATCAAAATAATGGATAAATGTTGTGCTTGTGGTAAACAGCCACGGATCAGTAGTGGACTCCTGTGTGAAAGCTGCTTCCCCTCTCACAAGAGTCACCTAAGAGGGGAATTCCCCCCATTTTCAAAAATGAAATTCAGGCACTAAAAATCATGATTTGAGTATCACTATAAATAGTTATAAATCATAAAAAGAAGGCTTTAAAAAGATTGGTATCGGTGATCGGTATCGGCATATACTGCTTTCTGTGATCGGCCTCAAAAATACTGATCGGAGCACCCCTAGGCTTAAAGGTGCACTAAGCAATTTTTGAAAACTGGTTTACGATCAGGCAAGAGGTAGGATCCACGTAAATATTGGAGCAGCTTTCCAGCGGTGGAGAGAACTCAAGGAGCGGAAGAGAATCGGATGCCAAGGTTGCTTTGTTTCTTCTTTATTATGCGAGTTGCGTTGAATTTTGCTTTTTAACACAACTTTTCTGTGTTGGCTTTTGCTTGAATATATTGTACCGGCAGGCATGGCAGATCGTCGCTGCCAGGGTGGTGTATGTACGCGTGGGGTGGAGTTATCAAAATAGGGGCGAGGTCCTGTTGGGGTATGGGCGTGTTTGCTTTGGTGCTTTCAAATATCAACATCGTTTGGCAAAAATCGCTTAGTGCACCTTTAATTTTGAGGATGATTCTCAAAAAAACTATATTTTCTGCAAGCTTTTTTCAGATAACTTAAAACATTTTATAATTTTCATAATTCACAATTTGTTTACAGTGCAATAGCACTGGAGGAAGAAAATGTTACATTTTTTAAAGCATTGTTTAAATAACAAGTCAAGCTGCAATACCAAACAGGACCACACGGAGGTGCCAACAGACCACTACAGTCTCTTTAAGGATTAGTTCACTTACAGAATGAAAATTCTCTCATCACTAGCCGCTTTTCCACCGAAATTACCTGGAACAATTTGTCCCAGGAACTTTTTGTCCCCCAGACCTGTTGCTGTCAGCGTTTCCATCGCGGTCTAAAGTACCGAGAAGATTAGGCAAATAGTCTGGGGACGTAGGTCTGCGCGCGTTTCTCAATACAAAGTACGCAAATTTCGGACTTGCATCCTCTGTAGTTCAGACTTCGCGAGTTCGATTCGGGGGTGTGACCTCCTGGGGACAGGACAACGCAAGTCCGGTAATTCTGCAAACAGCAGCGTACTTGATAACGTCAGTCAGCTCGCCTTGGCTACTGCAGTTTTCCTCACTGTATTTATAATAAGACGAAATATGAAATCAAACACCATTGCCTCTTTTCATTTTAATTTAAACATATTAATAGCCGCAGAAATGTAGTTCAGGGAAGTAGCCTACATTACAATAAAACAAAATATTATATTGCCTCTTTTCATTTTCATTTGAACATATTAATAGATTAACAGAAAAAACACCAAAGATAACCTGTTAGATTTACCCAAAACGAATTATATCTTATGTTTAACCATTATGGAGACATCAGAGCCAGCGGCAAATGTCAGAAGGACTAGCCGAGTTGAGGCTGCTCT